GGTAGCAAAGCATTAACTTGGGGGAAAGCAGGCACGGGGGAGCCTTACCCGATGATGTATGCCAGGACGATGAGCTGGATCAACCGGAAGGTCAGTCCCACCTTCTTGTTCCTCACCAGCACCATCCGGGGGGTGTCATACTCAAAGAGGAAGGAGGACACCTTCTCCATGCACTTCTGCCCCATGGTTGTGCCAGGGCTGTGCTGCAGCCTCGTGCCAGCCCCGCTGTTCACAGTGCCGTGGGGCAGGCCGTGCCTGCTGCCACTGGAGCGAGTCCTGTGCTTGCAGACAGGAGGGAGAAGGCAGCGGATAAAACGCTATCTGTGGTGCTCTGTGCACATATGGGCTGTCGGGTTTCCTCCTCTGCGCAGGGATGGGGTTTCCTCTTCCTATAAGCTCTGGGCTGGGTGCCCTACATGGCCTGGGGGTGGGACAGGGTGCGGGAGGGTGCAGGGCAACCACATGCCACAGGGACAGAGCTATCTGACCATGGGGGATGCACCCTCATCCGGGCAGGGTCCATCCCTGGGGATGGAGGGGCTACAGGCAGGGCTCGAGGCAAGCAGGGACCACAAGGCAACCATGGGATGGTGGAGATGGAGGAGGTCCTGGGAGAGGGTATCACCTTTCCTGCCCCGGCAGCCACCTCAGGCTGTGGGTCTCCTGTGTATGTCCCTAACCCATGTCCTCCTCCGTCCCCCAAGGGCTGCCCCAGTAAAAGGGTTGGGAAAGGGGAGGGAGTGGGCACAGAAGCCCCAGCCCAGCAATGCGAAGCCAAAGCCCCTTCCCGCAGTGGGGCTCCCTGGCTGGGGCTTGGCTGGATCCCAGGGGCTGGGCTGGGCACGTTTGGAAGCATTTTCAGTATTCCCAGCATTTCCTGAGCCTTGAGCAGGGCCGGGTCACAGCGAGAGATGCTCAGCAGGGTGGTGCAGGCACTGCTTCAAGGGGATAGCACTGAGAAAGGAGCTGGATTTCTGTGTGCCAGACTGAAATCTGGGGGGCAACATCATTGCAGTGGGAAGCTTTGCGGGTAGCCTCACAGGGGTGCGCTCTTTGCTGGGGAGCACTGGGCTGAGGAGGGCTGTTTCTGGAGGAAACAGAAAGTTTTGCCCCAAAAGCCCGGAGCCCAGAAGCTTCAGCACTCCCCAGAAGGACAAGAATCCATCCCATGAGTCCCAGTTCATCTGCTGCTTCCCGTGACTTTGAAGGATGCACTGGTGTCTGCAGCCATCGAGTCTGACACAAGGTCCCTCTCTGCAGGGGGAAATGTTATTGGAAATATGGAAAAGTTTAACCTGCTGGGATAAATGTCCCTTCTGGAATATTTAACATCATCACCTCCCATGTTCAATTGCCCATCACTGAGCATCATATTGACCTTTCAACTCAGTATTTTACGGACTTGACAACCACAAAATGAATGGAACAAATCAATTATCTTTGTTGGGCAATAGGGAAAATAGGGGGAAAAGCTGATGAACCATTTAGCTGAGTCTTTTGGGTGTACCATGAAGCTTGGGAATCAAAATCAGATGATCCCACTTTGCAAGTGACGTGACATCCCAATGCCCCAGGCCTCAGCAACGTGGAAAGCTGTCAAATGGGGAGCCAAAGGCAAATATGAAATGCTGATGCTAATCATATAAGATTGAAGGCTGATACTGCTATTGAGCAGAGCAGACAAACCTTATAAGCTTAGATATCTGTCAGGAGAGAAGCAAATAACTTACTGTATGAAACGAGGCCTTTTAGGGAAGGCTGCTCACCCTTGCCAAAGCCATGGGGATAATGAAAATAGGACAGCTAAATTTAACAGCAAAATGACTTGTAAAAGAGTCACTTCTAACCTTCACTCTGGTACTTGGAGTCAATAAAATGGTTATAGCATGGATTTAGCTAAAATACTTTCCATTGGGAGATAATATGCATCTCCCATTATAGTACCTCTTGGAGCCACGTTGCAGCTGGTGAGCGGGGCCGGACCCCACGGGTGTGTCTGTGGTGATGTGGGGAGCAGGAGACCCCAGCGCAGGAGCACCCATGGGGCCTAGGTCTTCTCTTGGCTGCTATTAGCACCTGACACGGGCACTCTCTTGGCCATGGCACCCAAATGTTGAGAAAAAAACATAGTGGCTTCACATGCTACCACGCTATCACACAGCAGCAGTAACAGCATACTAACCATGTGGTTACTGTGGGGAAGTGCTCTGCTTGGGCTCTGTGACATTACCTGCCAGGAGATGCTGAGTTCATGGGGTGTGATGCTGCTGCAGCTCAGGCACTGGGCTGTCCTGATGCCAGCTCTTTCTGTTTGCAATCACCTGTGGTGATAATAAATATATTGTTGTAACACGTAAATGAAAAATAGAATTAGTGGAAAAAGATGCTTCTATCAGCATTTTTATACTGTGTCTGGTGCAACCCCCTGCACAGCAACTGTGACCCTGGGGCTGCTGGAGTCCTGCAGATACAAGCTTGTAGGATGCTGTCGATACACCCACAGTCATTTCCTCTGAACAACTTTGCATCTCTTGGTCCCTATCAAGCCCCCTGGGGGTGTGCTCAGTGCCAACACTGAGGATGCTGCTGGAGGAGCAGCAGCAGCAGCTTGAGATCGGCTGCAGCAGGTCCTGGGCACAGAGAGCGCTGAGCTGGGCTGGACCCGAGCAGCATGCAAATGTGGGACCAAACAGGGTGGGAGTGGGACAACATGGGGGCACAGAGGGCAAAACCAGGCAGAGATAAGGGAATCAGCCCATCTTGCTCTGCTGCCTATGGGAAAGTGGAAGCAGCAACAGCAAATGAGGCCCTAAAGCCTCTGTGTTAGTGCCCAGGGTTGCAAAGCCCCAGGACCTGTTTGCCCAAATGCTCTCCTGAGTCAGCTGGCACTGCCTGGTCCCCAGCACCGGGTTGGCCTCATCCGGCATCTCCTTCAGCTCCAGCTGGGTCAGACCCAAGGGCATCAAGGGCTGGTGACCCACCGAGGGATCCTTGGCAGCGCTTCGCAGGGCTACGCAGGGCTCCATCCATGGCTGCAAATGCAGCTCCTCCCCCTGCCCCTTCAACAAACTCAACCTCTGCTTGGGGCTGTCAAGAGAAAAATGCAAAAAATGGCGTTTTTAAATGAGGCATTTGGAAATGCGAGGGCATCCTTGCTGGGACCCAGAGCCAGAGCATGGAGGAGCACAAAGAGGGTGGTCTGAAAGCCTCTGCCTGGGGCTTGAGCCCTCCCGCACCCAGGAAAGTGAAGCTGTGGTAGGTATAAATGCTCCCAGGTCTTTCCAAGCCCTCAGAGATGGCTCCAAAACCTCCTTGGGGGAGGGGGAAATTACAACTATAATAGACGAAGCTCATTACACAACCCAGACTCATGCTTGGCAGCGTGCAACACCGAGCTCTGAATTTCAGCACAAAAATGTGCAGCACGCTGCAAAGCTGCGGATGGGAGGAACACCACGGTGGCAAGGAGACTTGAAATATGAGGACGGGTGTGAAGGGGACCTGCTGTGGTTGAGGTTGCCAAAAAGAGCCCCTGAAAGTTAAGTGGCTCTTTGGCCACCACAGCCCCCGTGAGCCAAAGGAGATGCTCACGCTGCCCTGCTGGCGATGGGAAGGGGAGTGTGGAAAAACATTGGCAGATGAGAGCAAGCAAGGTCCTACAAAACAGCATGTTCAGTTTTCTTTCCAATTTTAACTTGTCCTTGACCTCTCTTCGCTCCTTCCCAGCAGCGCTGGCTCCGCTCTGTGCCCGGCCCGCGCTGCGACAGCCCGGCGCAGGCAGATGTTTTTGGTGGTACTCACCCCACAGCAGCAGCATTTCCATCCCTTGTTGCTGCAGCAACACGTCACCCTGGAAATACCTCGGCTGTGGTTCAGCCAACGCCAAAGCAAACACATAAACCTGCGATGCTGGGGCTGCCCATTGCATCTGCTGGCAGCATGGCAGGCACATCCTGTGGGGCAGCTGAACAGTGCCATGGGGTACAGGGAGCACTGGGGTGGGGTTTTGGGGGTAACATCCGTTTTCTGAATGCATAGCCCCAGTGGTGATGGTGCCCAGTGGTCCAGGGAGCAATGAACCATCAGATGGGGAATGTGGAGGGGTTTTACCTTCACTGCTACGTGCTGAGACAGCGCTGCATCCTCAGCAGTGGCTGGTAGAGGACCACCACTGCCATGGCTGTGGTAAGCATCATGCACCAGCACTGGAGCCCAGCTCAGGAAGAGGCCAAGCAATGGCCTTTTACCAGTATTCACACTTGCCTGCGTATCCCACATCCCTTTTTGTAACCCCCTTTGGGTTACAAAGGTTTTGGGCTACCCTATGCAGCCCCTTTCTTCTGCTTGTACCATTGGGAAGGGGCACATAGGGCTACCTCCTAGCAAAAGCACACCATGAGCATATGTTACCATGAACCCAGATTTGCTCCAAAACACAACCTGCTGTTGCATCAGGATTTTCCACTCAAAACGTGACCATGGGCAGAGCTCTGGGCGATGTGGAGATGGAAACACACAGCCTGGAGGCCCAGTGCCACCCTCAGAGGAGGCCAAGTTATTTAATTATTACTTATTTCATAATTATTTCTTATGGAGGTCATTGCAGGGCTTATTTAAACCTCTCTCAGCTGGGGGAGATAAGGTGAGGACTATTCTGGATCCAGTCAAAATTAGCACTGTTATTTGTATTCTTGTGCCCTGAGAGCAAATTAGCTGGTACTTTAAAGAATTCCCAACAGTCATATCATGCCACTCCTTCCATTTCGCCTTTGTCCCATGCCAGAGACAAGCTCAGCTCCATTTCTAGTTTGGCTGCTCTGAAAAGCCACAAGAAATCCTGTTCTGGTGAGCACAGCTCCTTTTACGGCTGAAGAATGCCCTCAGGCACTCCCGTACAGCTCCATGGGCTCCCAAACGTCCCCCAAATCGGCCACAAAGAAAGGCAAAAACCAAATAATTCATAAAGCAACAAAGAAACCCAACATAAACCCCCAGAGACGTCCAGTAAAATTGCTTTTATTTCTGTAATTTTATGAGTATAAAACAAATCAGCCCGATATTGTGTGAACAGAGTGGATCGTACGGATGTGACCACGAGGAACCTTCCCACGCCTTCATGGCACACCTGGGTATTTACAGTCGGACACAGGACACAGTTTAGGAAGTGGTAATTTAGTGGAAAAATATCTCTCGTGTAATAAAATAGGAAAGCTGTTTCTTTCAGTTTCACCCCTCAAATAACACCCTCCCACCCCATCCCCAAGACACAATGATTTACCTTTCACTACGAAGCACAAACTCAGAGATTTCTAGATTTGGCTGTTCAGGCATCTCACATATATAAATTCAGCGTATTCCCAGACCAAGGCCACTGGCAGCTAAGGACCTCCTCTTGGTCCCAAGCACCCAAACTGACCCACATCGGACACCAGCCAGCGGTACCCATGTCCTCATCACTCCAGGCACACACAGATTCAGGCTCATTTAATGCCCCTCTCATACCGAAAGCTGAATGACACCAACAGGACAGGTCCATGGAGCACAATTTGCCTTCCTCACTGCAGCCCTGCAAACCCTAACCCGAACTGTGCCACGCAGCCTCTGCACAGGGTGAAGCCTTTCTCCTTCATCCCAAAAGGATGGGCTGTCTCCTCTCCAGGGAGAAGCCCTGCCAGAAATTGCCACTTCAGAAGCATGGGGAGGAAAGGCCAGGTAGGACTGAACAGGGACAACTGAATCTCTGGCATCATTTATACAAGGTATGGACCAAAAATCACAAGTCTTAGGGGCTGGCACTGGGGACTGCTGTGTGTTTGATGTGATGCCCCGGTCACTGAACCTCAGGAACATCTCCACCAGTTGGGACAGCATTAGCCTGAGCCCTTGCACAGCAATTCTTTGATGAGTTTTGGTGGAGCAGGACTCACCTGGGAATCAGCACTATCAACCTGACCTGCAAAAGAGTGACCCAAAATTGCTGCTGAGCTTTCCTGTTGCTCCTCTGGCTACTTCTGCCATCCACACTGTGAGCAGAGACTCCGGCTCAGTGCCAGATTTGATCCTCTTAAGGAATGAAGTCCCCCAGCCCCTCCTGACTTCTCCAGTGCCTGGTGGTACCATCCAGCCTTGGCTGAGCAGAACATCAGAAACACACATACAACAACTTCACAGTGCCAAAGTCTGAAACACACACATAAAAAACCTCATCCAGACCCTGAGCTGTGCAGTGGCCACATGAGAGAAACAAAACATAGGATGCAACACTGTTTTGCTCTGAGTAGCATCTCTTTTTTCCCTTTCCCAATGTGCCTCCTGATAGGATCACACAGGGAGAAAAGCTCATCCAGTGACTGGCCACAATGACATGATGTCCCAAAACAGCACAAAAGACTTTCCACTGCTGCTGCCCAAAGCTGACCCAGGGACATGGGACCATTGCTTCCTGCCTTGGCTGTAACCCAGCACAGTGCCTAGCCCCTGAGAAAGGAGTTTAAAGTGCACATGGACAACCACACGCTGCCACCATGGTGTGTCCTCCACCATGCATCTTGCATTGCTGCTTCTTGCATGTGGAGGATCTGTCACAACAGCCCACCAATGCTAAAGGTCTTGTTGGAAAACCCTAAGTTTTGTTTAAAAACTTTGAATATTCCAGGCAGCACTATCAAAATAAGACTAAAAAGGAAGTAATTCCTAAACTCTGGTGTAAAAAAAGCAAGGGTCCTGGAGGCTTTGTCTCTAAGCTGCTTTAACTAGCTCTTGGGCAAAACAGCCACCCAGTGTTTATGTCCCTTGTATTGCACACAGTCAGATGCCTTGGTAAGACACAAGACCTGATCCCAAAGCAATGGTCTCAGCTCTGGGATCTCCCAAGTCTGCACAAGAACATGCTCCAGCCTGTAAAATAGCCCAGCATGCTGCTGGTGGCATACATGCAATAAATAACTACTCCGTGATTTATCCTGACCCTTCATTGAAGCATAAAGGGAAAACAATTAGATCTATTTTCCTATTTCATTAAAGTACTTGAACTATAAGCCTCTGTAATCAAAAAGTATGGAGTGAAACTGTATTCCAAGTAATTAAAGGACAGGGGGGAAAAGAGAGATGTGGTCAACCATTCCGAATGGGAAATGGGGATGTGTTAAATGCTCCCTGTTAGCAAGGGGGATGCCTCCTGAGCCTTAGCAGAGGTTTCCTGCACTATTTCCCAGGTATTTTCTAGAAGTTTACAATACACAGGCAAATGCAGTTTGCTGCTGGAAAGAAGCAGCCTTTGGCTGGGACACAGCTCTGGTTGCTTGCCAGCGATGGCTTGGGGTTTGGGAACTCACCATTGGAACCCAACGACTGCACCAAGAGACTGACGCTGCCCAGGCTTGCAGCAGCCTGGCACCTCCATCAACGACAAAACAGCAGCAGCTTGGCATCTCTGCCAACAGCAAGGTAACAAACTCAGCATCTCTTCAAATGGCTGCTCTGTTAGCGGGTTCAGAAGGATGCCCGATTCCTCCAGCTCTCTGCTGTCAGGTGAGAGCACACAAGTTACCAGCAGGAATGTGTAAGCAAGTTAGGATTTCACTCTTTCATCTCTGCTCTGAAGCAGAACTCTTGTTTCATTTTTGTTTCCCCTTTTAGGTTTCTTTGTATTAGAGACTCCCATCCATTACTCAGTATTTATTAGGGGGACCTTTACACAAGGAACTCCTCCACACACATACATGCTTGGGTAAAATTAATAATCCTACACAAGACCTTAAGCCCAGGGAAACCGGTGTAACTCAGGAGGTGCAATACAGAACAGATGGACCAAGCAAGTCCCCGTAGGCACAATGGACTGAGACCACCATATCCCAGGGAGATGCCAATGGGCACCTGAAAGCCCTGCAGGACCCTATGAATGGGGCTGGGATGCTCTGAATCCAGTCCAGCCACTCCCAAACTGGTTTTCAGCCTCAGGGAAACACAGAAGCAATTTGTTCTGAAGTCATTGAGTTGGTACTGGTTTAAATTCCCACTGGTTCTTTCCCTGCACTGATATGTTCTAAAAAGGTGAATTCCACCCTTGTGGGGAAGGGCAAATCACACATCTATAGCCTTAGTCTTACTAAAGCCCTGTTTCGAAGGTTTAATCAGTACCTGGGTCATGCCCTGGTTCTCTGCACCAGGGTGAGTCTCATCCATGGTGGAAATCTTTAAGGAGGAACTGGTAGCCCCATGGGATCACCAATTAAATCCATTAGACAGAACACATTTGAAAAATAAAACTTTCTTCAAGACAAAGTATAATAATATTAAAAATCAGCAACAATCTTCTAACCACAGAGTATCTATAAAGATCTTTTTAAAGAGCTCCATATTAAAATTCCTTGAATACATTATATATTAAATACAGTAACGACATTTCATGCAAGGTTTTCTGTACAATAAAATCAGCTCAGTAGTATAACAATTCTGTACATTCCCATTGGTCTGGGGGGCTCTGCTCATCTTCAATGCTGGTGATGGAGAAAGGAAAGGAGGGATGATATTTGGCACCTACTGTACAGAGGAAAAGTAGCTCTTGCCCAAGTGAAAGAGGAACAGCAAAGCACTGGAAGCTCTCAAGAGGCAAAAAGTGAAAGAAAAAAGCCAACAGCAAAGGAGCCAAATGCTATGTAAAACCCTGGCTCTAGTGCTGCTGCTGGAATTAAGAGAAAGGAAAGGGTCTGGCTAACTAAATATCATCAGGACAGATCATAAGGGAACATCAGGAAAACAGAAGGGAAGATTTAGAGATCTGGAGAAGAAATCACCCACTATCAGCTTCTCAGCTATCAGCTCCCCACTATCTCTTTCTCCAGCTCAATGGAGAAAGGTCAACTTACTGGATCCCAAAATCCATTCCTGATCCACAAACTCTCACTGCAGCCTGTGTCGCTCCTGCTGCAGAGAAGCCCCGAGAGGATAAAATAGAGTTGGTGCCTTATAAAAAGGGATGCCATGACAAACACTGCTCACAGAGAAGAACTACATTATGTACAAGCATACATTCATTCCTGTCTCGAAGGCGGATCACTGGTGTCAAGGATGCCCTGTGCAAGACAGGGATGCTTTCCAAAAGCAGAGAACAAGAACTCATAGATGTGCTCCTAAGGATTTAAGCACTACTCCTGCTAAGGAAACAGTTAAAAATCATCTGAGGAAAGAAAATATGACCAGGAGGAAGCAGTAGACATGAGGAATGCACAGTCAGTCATCCCCATAGCATCATAGAATGGTTTGGGTTGGAAAGGACCTTAAGATCACCCAGTTCCAACCCCCTGCCATGGGCAGGGACACCTCATACTAGACTAGGTAGCTCAAGGGCCTGTCCAGCCTGGTCTTGAACACTTCCAGGGATGGAACATGCCTTGCTTTAAATAATTGCCCCTATGAGGAAGAGGGCTACAGTTTAAACAGTGCAGCTGGGATCTCACAAGATGCTGGACAGGGGAGAATAGACAAGACTACATCATGCTTTGGTGTCAGATAAGCCTGAGAAGGTGTGGGGCTTTCTACAACACAGGGATCAAACAGGACAGCATGATAAATAGGGAAAACTTCACCTTCCAAGACATGCACCCTATCTCGACATAGAAACACACGTCCATGAGATCCACACCACCACTGGTCACACTGCGAAGTGATGTGGACCTGCTGCAGCCTGCAGGCACTGTGGCCACTGGAGCTGAACACAGCACCCACCGACACCACGGACACCATCGAGGGGCAGTGATCCCAACCCATGGCCATCTCGCCTCCCTGCCCTACCCTTCCCAACTCCAGGAGCTGCCCTTCTGCATGCCACCCCGATGGGGGATGCAGCCTCCCATCCACACTCAGTGTATCACCTAAAACCCCGGGTTCCCCCCTCAATCTCCCATGAAGGGCACCTCGGCCTGAGCTCACCGCAGCAGGGTGAGAATTGGAAAGAGGGCCTCAAATTCTGCAGGAACAAACTCCCAAGGAACCGTGTTATGATGACCCAGGTCTGCACAGCTCCGTCCCCAAACCCTACACCAGCTGCCCAGTAACTGCACTCCTATGTACAGGAAAAAGAAAGCTACAGAACAAAACAAAATCAGGATTTTTCTTTTCGACGATTCACCCGCATTTGTCTGGTAGTCGGACACATGCATGTCCTGCTGGTCTCTAGCGAGGGGCACACATGCAAGGCTTCAGTCCGAGTTACAAGCGAGGGATCCTTTAGTGAGGAGCGTTTCCTTCGTGTCATTCATTTCTTGTGCTCTTCTCCTAAAGTGAAGGACAACGAGAAAAGGAGAAAAAGTATCGGTAAGGCTTCAAAACCAACCCGGCTCCCTCGTTTTGTCCCAGAAGGGAGCTGGCATCCCATCTCTATGAGCTGCCCCACCTGCTTGGGCTGCACAAGGAGGAGGATGCCAGTCCCCAGGTGAGGAAGGGCTTGGCACACTTATGAAGGCAGGAAAAGGGACGGGTCAGAGCCAGGCAGGGAGGAACAGCAGGAAGGAGAGCAGGCAGAGATCCCTCGTACTGCTCCTAACAAGAGCATCAGGCAGCACCCAGGGAAGCAAGCAGTGCAGAGAGGGGGAAGCTCACTGCATCCCACCACCAATCCCTACTGCAGCAGGATAGATGGATACCGTTCCATGGGCTAGCACCACTTACACCCAGCAGATATATTTTAGATGTATTTACATCCATATATATCTGCAGAAGAACTAGCAAGGACCAATCTCCTTGTGTCACTCACTGTCCCAGCCTCAGGGCTGCCCTCCTCTCTTCTCCCACCCTACTGATGGATAGAAGGCAACAACCAACACATGGCCTGAAGGAAAGCTACAGTGTTCAGCTTGAGCTCAGTGTGAGCAGCTCTGAAATCCCTGCCAGGGCTTGACTCGCACCAATTAGATCTGCAGTTTTCAAGCAGTTGACAGCAGTGTCCCCTGCCCTGAGGCAGTGGCTACACTTCAGCCCAGGACTGGGAAAGACCCTGTGGGCAGCTCTGTCTGCCCGGAATAGTCTTTTTTTCCTTTAAAAAATACCCACAAGGCAGCACTTTCTGAGAAGAGTTAGAAAAAAAATCACTTATCATGAATCTTTCGACCATATTTCTCTGTCTTTCATCACTGCACACATCACCAAACACATCTCGCAGAGCAGCGCCTTTACTGTGCTCTTGATAAATAGGGGTCCTGCCTGGGGTTACCAGCGAGGCTCCACGCCTGCTGCCAAGCCTGATGCCAACAGGCTTCCAGGGGAATTAATAAATAACAGGGCAGAGAGAAGGGGGAAAACAGCTTTTGTGCAACTTCAGCCAAAGTTTCCTTCCAGTGCTGGCTGGAGAGCACAGCCCTCGTGTCCTGAGATAGAACTGAGTGCTGCAACGGTTGCATCCCTCTGGATGCTATTTGGTCGCAGGGATGCTGGCGACCACAGTGTATTAAACCTCACTGCAGTCATCAAAATTAATCTCCTCTGTGTTGAAGGGTGTCTCTTTAGCAACTCCAGGAGCTGAACAGTCCCCGCCTGGTGACAGGCAGGTGGTTATTTGCTTCCCTGAGAGCTCACACTGTGGCTGTGCTGTATGGTGGGCAGGGGCAGGATGGGGACACAGCTCCAGCACCAACAGCGAGCCTTTAACCACAGTAGATGCTCTTCAGAATGTCACTCTCATGCCTCTAAGCACGCCCTGGCACAGAGGAAGTTGGGTCTTTCCATGAGAACTGGCACCCCTGGAGCTTTAATAGGATGCAGGTCCCTACATGCCAGTGTGGCTCTCGTCTCCACACACGGGTGACGAGAGTATCGGGGATGCGGGGACCCATTTGCAGGTGTGATGGTTGCAGATGGCTGTGATGGTTGCAGATGGTTGTGATCCACCTGGACCCTACCTCACACCAAATTCTCAGGGGTGTCACAGCCCTTCAGCTCTTGAAAACTTGCAACCAAACAACACAAGCTCATGTGCTACAGAATCTGCTCCCCACAGGGACAGACAAGGCTTTTGGGGAGGTTTTTCCTTATTGCCTTTGACCCTCTTAACAGGTTCCTGTAGAAAGTGATGCTGAAGGGATTCAGGCTCCAGCCACCAGCCTGGATCACTGCCCTCCAAAGGAAATGCTGCAGCCCTCATAGCTCTGAGAACTGCACATCTGCCCCACAGCACCAGGGCTCAGCCCAGACCCTGGGAGAGGACCAAAAGGGAAATCCTCCTGCCATCCCTTCTCAATACCAGGGCAGCAACTCCAACACCTTCCCTCTCCCATTTCTAAAGCGTGGCACACACACAAAACACAGGAGCGAGGGGAAAACACGAAGAATAGTGAAAAAGCAAGGCAGCAGAGCTGTATGATCCTGCCTGGGGAGATTCCAGCACTGAAAGGTGCAGCTGCCACTCTCCTTCCGAGCATCCCATAGCTCAAGCAAACGACTTGGCCCATGGGGACGCATTCCTCCCCTGGCGCCAGCACCCAGCCAAGGTAGCTCCACGCAGAGATTACCCTACAAGGGCAAGCCATGGCCACAGGCTGCGGCTCTCTGCCGCTCCGGGAAGAGGGATGCTCCTGCCTCTGGCGCAGGGAAAGAGGGCGGCTGCAGCACTGCACTCCCATGGGAGTTTTGGGGGGTGCTCTCATCCCCAGGTGTGGTGCGTGGGGCAGATGAGGGGGAGCAGTTCCTCTTCTCTATGTGCTGAAGGAGTTTTGTGATGGGACACACAGACTGTGGTCCCTGCACATTGTGGGCTGTCCCGGAGGGATGCGGAGCCCCAGCTGGCCTTGGCAGGGAGCGGGATGCAGCTGTCACCATACAGCCACCGCTGCCAGCTGCTCTCCTCTGGGAGGAGGTTACAGCATAAAGCTGACAACGACTCTGCATCAAAACTTCCCATTTTCAGGGACACTGCTGCTGCCCAGGCAGTTGTGTGGCAGGAAGCATCTGCTTCTTGTCGTGCCCCTGCTTTTCCCATGGCACAGGTAAGGACGGTGAAGTCCAAGGAGCCAGGCAGGGCCTGAAAACAAGTGAAGATACCAGAGTGCCACCACTGATGCCTGTGATGGGTTTGCTCTGAGATGGTGAAGATGAGGAGGACCAGGGATGGTGCAGGAAGGAAGGAGGGGAGCGGGGTGGCCATGGCAGCAGGCTGATGGTGCATGTAGATACACAAGCACCGGCGTTAGCTCAGTGTCTTGTGTGGGTTTGGCATCTTTTGAGAACCACTCAGAAAAGAGACTCATGCAAGGTCTTGGCACAGATGCCTGGAAACCTGCCTCCTGCACACCATGGGGCTCAGAAGGAACAACACATTTCAATGCACAGAGCATGACAAATGTTAGAAGTATTAGTGCAAGAGGTCCTTGAGGGGGGTCAGCCCTTCTGAGCCTGCCAGCATGTGTGACAGACCCCTGGAGAACATCTCCATGCTCCTGACCAGAACATCTGTGGCTTGCACTGAGCCAGCCTAGTTCAGCCGTGCCCTTTCAACTGCTGTTCCACACTCACATTGTGTCCCAAAACTAAGACAGCAGAAACCTCAGAGTAGCCAGAGATGGATGAAGGCAGCAATATATGCAAAGCATGCAAGATGAGAGGCTGGAAATGACTGGGGTGGTGGGGAGAGGAATGTAAAGCACTGAGACCAGGGTGAAAACTGAAGAGCCGCAGCTTTCTGCCACTTCAAGGACAATGAAAATCCAGCACAATGGAAACACAACTTATCTAAATCTGATCAAAGGAGAAACTTTTCCATGCAAAACCTGAATCAGCACAACTCACAGCTATACATTGGCATCCCTCAACTGAACACCCTTGGCCATCCCTCAGAAGGTCCCACGTGGAGGACCAACCCCAAGCATTGCCTTGCGGACACCAAGTGGGTGCCTGGCCCCTGGGCAAAACTGCCATAGGATCAGCTGCTTCATGGGCTTTTTAGACCTTATTTTGAGGCAAACCATGGAGGGAAAGGAACCTGTCTGGGTACAGGGTCCCTGGGTTCTGGTATTTGCTGGTTTTCCAAGCCACATTCACCCACGTTCCAAGCAGATTCCCACCATACATAAGCAAGACTTTGGAGGAAGCACAGGGATACAGCACTCAGGGATGAACACATAAGAAAGCCAACCCTTGCTCTGGAGTCCTGCAGGTTTTCAACTGGTGCTCCCCGCTCCACTTGTGTCTTACTGTCCTGAGAATGCCTGGCAAAAAAAAATCACAACACCACACTTAAAAGTGGCTTTTGGACCTTGTTTTCTGTTTGCTTTTCAAAGCCCAGAGGAATTTGGCAGATGCAGATTTCAATTATTTCTTTCAAATGTGATGCTTTAAATGTCATTTTGCCCTTAGCCATGATTGAATAGCTGCACAGGAAACCTTTGCTGGATGAGATACAGAGCGACCTGTGAGCATCAGCGGCATCATGGCCATGGGGATGAGGGCAGCTCATGCTGGGAGCATGGTATCAGAGGAGGAAACAGTGACCTCGTATTATGGGACCAGAAAGGATCATCTGCCTGCCAGAAACCCTGCTTGCTCAAGCTGTGCTGGCAGAGCCAAAGAAAAGCCCTTCCCCTCCAACAGCACTGAGTTTTTATAGACAAATGCAAAGTGTGGGAGAAAGACTCATCCCCAGATCACAGATGGTGAAGCAAACACTGGGGGCATGCATGGGATGCAACAGCCAGGAATTAAGCAGTTCTCCTACATCCCAGCCCAGAGCAGTGCCATGAAGTTGTTGCTAAAGGCTGGTAATCACATGATAAACCAGACCTGGGTGATGCAAAACACCTCAGTCTGTGACAGTTGCACCTCCATGTCTCAGCGAAGGCTCCTCTGAGCAATCACTGCAGTTATGCACCAGCTTGCCACAGAAAGGAAGGCTGATGTGAGCTGTGGCCCACTGATGGGAAGGGTGGCCAGTTTACAATCATCTCCTACTTGCAGTAATTCCCCATCCCATATTTCCAACTTTTTGCATGGTTCTGCTCCATGAGACACCAAACAGAGCTCTTACAATGCCCCATATCCCTCCCTGCCAGGGCTGGATGGACCTGCCTTCAGCCCTGAAAGGCAAGAGTGGCTTTGCACAGTTTTCCTGGCTCATTATTAAAGGGTGAAGGTAAAAAAAGAGGTTTGCTAGGGGGTGAAAAAGGTTTGAGCAAGGTGATGCTGTGGACGGACATCTAGTCCATCAGGTTATTCATCTGCCTTCCAGAGCCACTGCATCTTCCCCGTGCAAGGGCAGTGTTTCTCCTGCCCTTCTTCCCCCTGCTATCACTGTCAGGGTAAGCATACCCTAAAGAATGAATAAAACCTGTTTTATTCCCCTCTGGAGAGGGGAAAGAGCACCGAGATATCACCTACAGCAACATCTTTTGCAAGGGATGCGAGATGATACCATCTCTTTGGAGGGCTGCCCAAGCACATGCTGTGATTTAAAGTGCGGAGCCTGGGAGCACACAGGAACCGCTGCCCCTGCGTCACAGGAGCTGCTTCTCCTCTGTGCATGCCATGAGCTGAATCCTGAGGTGCTGGCAAAGGGCAGCTCCATTAAAACCAGTTTATAAGGTGTTAAGCTCTCAACTGATCTTAACATAGAAGTAGCAAACACAAGATAAGGATGGCGGAAGGCTGGGGGGGGGAAGGAGGGATTCCTGTTAGAAACCCGTGTTTGATTTGTTGTTTGAAGGGATCAGTTCCCAGTTTCAAGAGGAGCTGAATAAACACACATGGCAGATTTATCTAGTGCTCCAGCTCCTAAGGGAGTATTTCAAGCTGATGTAAGTACCAACTGCTCTGCCAGGCAGGAAAGGGGGTAAGAGAAGAAGTCCCTTTTTCACAGCAAAGGGAGATGAATATGCAGTAGCAGACACCACACGAGCAGAAGAGGTAAGCATGAAGTCACCACGAACCCCAAGCAAAGCATAACCCAGTGTGCTGCAGACCATGCTCACCATCCAGGTGGTTGCGGGAAAGGTACTTGAGTCCTTCATCCAGCAGGATAACAGGCAGGGAGATTTTCATTACAACCACCCACTGTGGCCAGCTCAGGGGGGTTACCTGGAAGATGAGCTGCAAGATGCAAAGGATTGCATATGTCAGTAGGGAAGGAGGTGGGAGTTTTTAGTTAAGGGTCAGGTTGTTGTATGGCACAAGCTGAGGGGGGTCATTCCTCTCTAGGAGGGATTACAAGGACAGAGGATCCAGACAACCCAAAAAGCAGGATTTCTTCAAGGTCTGTCATGATCCCAAGGTGGCTCTTGGCCAAGAGATGAATCAAAAATGGCCTCTCCTGCAGATGGGTAAAGTGAGGAACAAGCTAGGACTGTATGTTCATGTGCTTACAGCGGCTCAGCAGGGCATAACAGACCATGCAACCGCCTGGGCACAGTGACACGCTTCATCTTAAGCACCCTCAGGCATCAACCAAGGCATCGCCAGCCTTGGACTGCAAAGGGGGGTGATGCCTCTGGAAGAGGCTGAACAACCTTCTGGAGGTATTTGCACCCCTTTACATTACCTATACAGAGAGCTTCTGACTTAGGGTAAAAGCTCTCTGGGGCAGGATGATTCCCACTCCTCGTGTTGGTTCATGACCTGGTCCTGAGGGTGTGTGCTGGGGACAACCATCCCAGAAGCTTCCAGCCCCAAAGATTGCTCCAGAGCTGTCCTAGCCCACAGCAGGAGCCTCTGGGCTGTGCACAAAGGTTGCAGAAGACACTCACAGGCATGGGCTTGACGTAGAGGATGAGGAAGTGCAGAGCCATGGACATGACGATGGCTCCCAGCAGCCAGATGTTGAGCCATGGTGGCATCCGCAGCAGTGACTGGTTCTCAGAGACACTGTGAAAGCAAGGGGACAGGGTTAACCCCAGCAACCTCCCGTTCCTGCCCAAGCTGGGTGTTCCCATTGCTCCCCAAGGTGCAAGGCTGTACACTATAGCCCTTCTCTTCCAGACTGTCCCTTTTCAGGCTTTTCTGTGAACTGGATCTGGACACAAATCCCAACACAACCAGCCATGCATGGATTAGGACCGGTCATTAACAGACTCAAACCACTAATAGATGTGGATCCAGTCCTTCCTCCACCATTGTCAGCAACAGCACACTGCCTTGGAGGAGTTTATCTACAGCAAACCCAGGGTACCCCTGTGAGGATGCTCCAAGTGGCTCTTTTGAGTCAAAGCAAAGCCTCCAGCTTACCAACAGGTGCTCAAAGAGGACCTGCACTAAATGGGTCATGCCCAGCACGTTCAGAGCAACCCTGTGGCCACACTACCTGTTCAGAGCGTTGCACATTTCGATTGTCACCAGCACAGACAGAGCCATCGTGGTCGGGTATCGGGACTCAAAGATCTCACAGTCAATTCCTTCAAAGATGGGGTTGTCCTCAGTGCACCTCATGAAGTTCCTCTGTCGGCACAGGAAACAGCTGGTAAATACACTGCAGAGCAGCAGCATAGGGAAGGCAGGAAAGAGGAGGAACACGTCAACTGGTTGGGGGTACATGATGAACCTTCATTATGAGGGTTGCTGTTAAATATCCCACAGTGCAGAGCAACTGATAGAACTGCCTAAAGTGAGCCAGCTTCTGCTGTGGTTGGGGCTACAGGGTTATGGCTAGGTAGGGGCTTAGGGATTTTCATGGGCAGTTAATAAGTGTTTGAGCACACACACGTCTCCACCAAAAATACACCTTCCATTGCATGCTGTTGTGATGGCACCCGCTTTCACACCATCTTGTTTGGACCTACAGGAATGAAAAATCAATCCTTTTCAATGTGGGATCAGCTACAGGAGCTATTTTCAGCTTGTTTGAATTGTTTTGCCCACCATGCTGGTCACTGGCAAGAGCAAGGCTGGAATCGAGCCTGAGGGAGAGAATTTGCTTTTATTTTTTGTCTTTTCCAACAGGAATCTGCGAGCGTTGCGCAACCATGGAAGAAAGGTGGAGGAAATATCCCAATGCCTGAATCCATGCCCTCACCCATCTGCTCAACAGGTCAGCCCATTCCCCTCCCAACTCACCAGCTGATGGAAGGAGACCTGTGGTCCCTCAGCGTCGTACAGGAACCACCAAGTCGCTGCGCCCACTGTGGCCAGGCCCACGTACACTGCAGCCAAGAGAGACACCCTTACCCCCAGCACCCAGCAAGGGGCCCCCTGCCCCATGGCACCCCGTGCCCATCCTCATCCTCTGCTCACGGTGCCCACAGGGGCTCACCTCCGACAGCCAGGTAGCGGAAGAAGAGCCAGCCGCTGATGAGGGGCTCCTTGGGGTTGCGGGGCTGCTTGTCCATGATGTCCAGGTCGGGGGGGTTGAAGCCCAGTGCAGTGGCTGGCAGCCCGTCCGTCACCAGGTTCACCCACAGCAGCTGCACGGGGATGAGGGCCTCGGGGAGGCCCAGGATGGCTGTAAGGAAGATGCTGCAGGGTAAAAACCAGAGATGCCAGATTAGACAAGCCAGAGAAAGTGTCTGTGTTGTGTAAGGGGAGAGCAAGCAGCTACACTGGATCCAAATACCCCAAACTCAATATTCACCCAAAGCCCTGCAGATGAACCCGCAGCCCCTGAGTCAGGAACCAGAAGTCCAGGACTGAATTTTGCAGCTAAAAACTGTTCCTGTTGCTATTAAAGTTTGCTTTGCAGTTAAAACCCAACCACTTATATCCCCATGGCCACGTGGGTTCCAGTTCCCAGCACAAACACCCCTCCTGAAACAAAAGGGTGAAGGATGCCCAAGCGATCCCCAGGCTGTGCCCATGTTGCTGAGGACGGCACTGGTTTACTGTGAGGGATGGGGCAGCTACTCAGGACCCGATGCAAAGTGCAGTGGTGTGACCTGGTGGCAACAGCCTGTGCACAGATATCTGCACCTATCTCAGACACTGGGCTTAAATAGGCAATGGATTAACTAACCAGTTCCTGGGAGGTGGCATGACTATAAAACTACAACAGAAAAGTCCCCTTGCCCATGGGGAATGAGACAAGGCATGGCTGCTTCATTTGGTACCCAGGGTTAGTTCTGGCCATCACACGATGGCAGGAGTAGGGAATATGCACAGGACTGCAGGTCATTTGTTCCAGCTCCTTTTCCCCCTGGTGTGGTGCCCAGTGTGGGGGACTCTCACCAAACGACTTCCCCGACGTTGGAGGAGATGAGATAGCGGATGAACTGCTTCATGTTGTTGTAAATAGCCCGGCCCTCCTCGACAGCTGACACGATGGTGGAGAAGTTGTCATCAGACAGCACCATCTCCGCGGCTGACTTGGCAACGGCGGTGCCCGACCCCATGGCGATGCCAATCTCTGCTTTCTTCAGGGCTGGAGCATCGTTGACACCATCGCCAGTCTGCATGAAGCCATGATTAATGGGGTGCAAAGGACTAGACCGGGCAGAGAGGAAGGGCCCAGGAGGTGGTGGGGTGCCCCTGGAGGACTCACCATGGCGGTGATCTCATGGAAGGACTGCAGGTACTCGACGATGCGGGACTTGTGCGCTGGCTCCACACGGGCGAAGCAGCGGGCATCGCGACACGCCTGCCGCTGCGCCTCGGGAGACAGCTCATCAAACTCCCGGCCTGTGTAGGCTTTGCCAGCCACGTCCTCAGTCTCGGAGAAGATGCTGATCCTGCGGCAGATGGCCACCGCCGTGCCCTTGTTGTCACCGGTGATCATGATGACACGGATGCCGGCTTTGCGGCACATCTCGATGGAGGAGGTGACCTCCTTGCGGGGAGGGTCCAGCATCCCCACGCAGCCCACAAAGGTCAGGTTGTTCTGGGTGAGGGAAAACAGCCCCAGATCCACACTAATCCTTCCCAGGATGCTGCCGCTTCCCTCTCCACTGTGAAACCACCCCAGACATGGGGATTTCCCCAGGAGGAAACTTTCATGAGGTTTCTACCAGCAGCTGCATGGATGCACCCTATAACCCAACGCGATGGGATGATCCCAGCCACGCTGCCACTCCTCACACTGGTTTGCTTCACTCCCCTCCTCCCTGTGCCTCTTGGTGGTTCCCAGGCCCCTCTCAGCAGTCACCCCCTGGGACTGATTCCCACTGGCATGGGGCTGTTGGCTCTGGGACAACTGCAATAGAGCTCTGAACCCATTAGCAGAGCTGAGCCATTGCACTGCCTGCTGCCCAGAGAAGCCAGACGGAAAACACTGCTGGGACAGCTGGAAGTCGGTGGGAAATCTTTGGGAATAAGGGAAAAATCTCCTGGAGAAAGCCCCCAGTGCCGTACCTCGTAGTGGACGAAGGCAGCGGAGTCGTGCAGCTGCATGGTCTCCCTGCGGACAGGCGAGTCGTGCGTGGCCAGGGCCAGGCAGCGCAGCGTGTCAATGCCCATGCCCCAGTCCCGGATCCTGCCCAGGATCTTCTCCCGCACCGGGGCTGTCAACGGCACCTTGGTGGTGCCCACACGGACATGGGTGCAGCGCTCGATCACGCTCTCCGGGGCACCCTGGGGAGAGGAGGAGGGCTTAGGAGCGAACCAAGAGGATGAGCTTCTCTTGCCAGCACCGAAGGGAGTGCGGGAGGGAAGGCACCAAGTTTGGGCAAAGGGGAAGGAAATCTCTCCCAAAGTCCAGCATGCAGACCCTGGCGCTGCGGCTCAGTGCACTAGATGGCAGCCTCCGACCGAGCACACTGCATCAGGTCCCCAGGCAACAGGATCTGCTCTGCAGGGGATCCCGCAAAACCTACATGTCTCTCCAGGATGCTCCCGCACCACAGACCCCCTCTCAGAGCAGGATGGGATCAGGGTGACAAATCTTTGCTGCCAAAACAGCATCTCTGCTGCCTGCAGAATGCTTAATGGATGCTTGCGATGCCTTTGTGATCCAAGAAAGCCTGTCCTCTAGCATCACAGCATCTCACCCCACCCCTTCTAACCTTACAAAGGACCCCCTCAAGTTTCTTTTTAATATCAAACTTGAAATCCTTCTATTGCTCCTCTTAAAAAAGCTCATCCCGGACTGCCAGGGCACAGATGCTGTGGTTTGGGAGGGTCCTGACCTGACCTGGAGGACAGAGTTCACCCACCCAGAAGATCTCTCAGTGGGAACAACAATATACAAATCTTCTCAGATTCAGCCAGGGGAAATTCCTGCTGCATCTCTTCTTGGGAAGAAAATGCCCTTTAAAACACTATTTTATTTCTGGTTACAGTGGAAAGCTGGACATCACCCTCTGGGCATTTCTGGTGTCCAGAGGGTCCAAGCCTTTAATAAAGGCAAGTTTTGCACTGGGGCAGCTCTCCCCTGGCCCCAGCACCAGCACACTCAGCATCTTTTTCTCCCTCTAAATCACTTTATTTCCTTATTTCTCCTCCCATTATTGCAAAGACTCACCCCCTCCCTGCCCACACCAGCCTGCCTGGACCCCAGACAGCTAAGGGAGGAGCCAAACTGCAAAGCATCACTGCCCATTGCAGTAAGGGCAAAATCCTGCTGGGGTGTGCATGGGGAAGGAGGATCCTGCAGGGTGCTGAGGGTGCTCCCCTACCTTGACAAACATCTTGCTGCCAGTGGAGTTGTGGCCGGGGCCGGTGGGTGTGCAGTACACAGACATGGACTTGCGGTCACGGGAGAACTCCAGGGTGCATTCCTTCTTCATCAGCTGCTTGATCACCTGCGGGGACAGCACAGGGCTGAGCTGGGATGTGACAGGGACACGGCAGCCGGTGCTCTCCATCTAACAATCCATCACATTAACAGCAGCTGAGGCTCTAATCAAGCTCATTTCAGGACGTGCTAATTTCCAGCTAAGCAGTAACAATCGTTCCCTCACACGGTACCTACAGGTTTGCAGGGTGATGGCAGAGCAGGGGCTGCCCCAACACGTGGACCCATGGGCACAGGCAGTGCCCACAGACAGGCTCCTGCACCTCAACACTCCTAAACCCATCTCACAAACCAGGCTCTACCATCGCTACTAGTTAAATACTTCGGGAGCCAAATGCTCAGCACAGTAGCAGCCAATCCTCCTCAACCAGACTCCTTCTCTCATCCATGATGGCATCACAGCTCCCCTCCTGGAAGGACACGTCTCGCCCCAAAAAAGCCATTGAATGAGCAGGACATCTGGGTCCAATACAAAGTATTTTCCGGAGAGGGCAGTGAGGATGTTGATGCCAACCTTACAGCTTATACAATTACATTTTGTTGCCAGGAAGGTCTTGCTTGTGACAGGGACACAACCAGTTTCTTGAACAGGACTTTTACAGCAACTTACGTGTAAATACATCAGTGAAAGGGCAAAAAAACCTCCTCCTTTTGGAGTAAAACCTTGCAAGTTCAAAGTTAAAAGGATGCTCCTACTGCAGCGAGGCTGTGAGCAGGAGCTGGGGAGGTAGATGGGTGAAGTGAATTTGTCCATGCAAAATGCCAGCACTATCTGTGGATCTTCCAGGCAAACACCAAGCAGCTCCCAAAGGCCAAACCCAGCACATGGCATGAGTGCAGTGACTACAGTGGGTGCTGTGCCCATAAAAGCAGTGCTGTCCCCACTGTACTGCACACACACAGCACATCAGCAAGGACACCTGGGAGCAGCTGCTGTGGAAACCCCAAAATCCCATTGGAGATTTCAAATCACAGAGGCACTGAGAGCACAAGCAAGAAGCAGTGAAGAATTGCTGCCAGGAAACTCCAAGGAAGGGTGTTCTGTCACTGCATAACACAAGAGTAAGGAGAGAAGCTCCAGTGACCGACCCCAGCCCGAGAGGCAGTGCAGTGATGAGTACACGTAACCAAGCAGCTGCTGGACTGATATATGGCTAGGAAATTCCATCTCCCTTATCAGAAAGGAGGCAGGGGATTTATTATGACCTGCTCTGGCCTATCTGGGGAGGAAATGCCAGAACAGGGAGCCCTTCCTTCGAGCAAGCAAAGACATTATGAGATCTAACAGCATGATACCAAAGCTGAGTAAATCCAGACATGAAATAAAGTGTGTTTTCCCCGGGAGGACAGGGAGATACTGGAGAGCTGGAGTAAGGGAACAGCCACGTTGTGGTTTACACTGAGCCCAGGAGAAGCCAGCACGGGGTATTTTCACATCAGAAATAGGTGCTTCCAAAGAGCAAGCCTTGTTCAGGCAGGGGTTTGGTTCATGCTGTGGAGGACAACTGCTCAGTGCAAACTGGGCACCTAAAGATTTGCTGTGGAGCTATAAAACTCCAAACCTCTGCCTCCAGAGCTCTGGACATTGTCGAGGGGGTCTCTCCCAGATGAGCAGGGACTAAACTGGGTTTGAGCCTTGGGAATCACCTGGTCCAAAGCCCCATGTGAACCCAGATTTGTCCCCCCAGCCCTGGCATCACCCCCCAGGGTCATTTCCCTGCCTGCTTCAAAACCAGCTCAGGCCCCTTGTGAGCCAGGGAATTTCACCCTGTGGCAGGTCAGTCCTTAGATCACTGCAATGGTCACTGCTCAAAGAACAGTCATCCGGAAGCCTTCCTCTCCCTCTCGTCCCCCAGCACTGGGGCTCACAGGGGCTGCACCCCACTCACCGAATTGCAGGCGTTGGCTCGCTCCACCTTGGACAGTTTGCTGATGTCAGTGTTGAAGACATTCATCTTCTCCACCAGGCACGTCAGGGCTGTTTCAGTGGCTTCCCCCACCTTCTCATAGACTTTTTTTGACTAGAAAACATACAAAAAAAAACCAAAACTTAAGCTTTAGAGCACGTCCCCTACCTGCTGCACTGACCAAGGATGCTGCCACCCACTGCACCACCCTGGGGCTCCCAGAGCATCACCCTGCAATGAAGGGAAGCCAAGGATGGGCATCCCAAAGGACACACCTCCGCTGGCTTTGCCCTAAAGTGGCCCAAGGCTCAAGGAAAAGCATCCCCTGTCCCCCACACTGCCCCAGTGCCCCCGCACCTCGTTGTAGTCCAGCGAGGAGTCGTTGCAGAGGGCGCAGATGGTGGCCAGCTCCACCAGCCCGTCGTACTGCCCGCACTGCACCGGCTGCTCGTCCTTCAGGCTGCGGGGAGGAAACAACACCTAAACCTCACACCAGCTCGCATGGTCAAATGAGCATAGAATCACAGCCTGGTTTGGGTTGGAAGGGGCCTGATAGCTCACCCAGTGTCAACCCACTGCCACAGGCAGGGACACCTTCCACTAGAGCAGCTTGCTCCAAGCCCCTGTGTCCAGCCTGGCCTTGAACACTGCCACGGATGGGGCAGCCACAGCTTCTCTGGGCACCCTGTGCCAGCGCCTCAGCACCCTCACAGGGAAGAGCTTCTGCCTAAGAGCTCACCTCAGTCTCCCCTCTGGCAGGTTAAAACCATTCCTTTGTCCTGTCCCTACATCCCTTGTCCCAAGCCCCTCTCCAGCTTTCCTGCAGCCCCTTCAGGCCCTGGAGCTGCTCTAAGGTCTTCCCTTAAGGAGCCTTCTCTTCTCCAGGCTGACCCAGCCCAGCTCTCTCAGCCTGGCTCCAGAGCAGAGCTGCTCCAGCCCTCGAAGCACCTCTGTGGCCTCCTCTCTCCTATATATCCTTTGTAATGTTTTCTGATAAGTGGGAGAAAGAGCTCCGTTAAAGCCTCAGGCTTGGCAATAAACACTTGCATTCATATTTTGTGCTTTACCAAAACACGGCAGGACTCAGTTGCAAATAAAATATCATAGGAGGCGAATAAACTCTAGAATTGGCCCCAGAATAACAGGGGTTGCTGAAGAGCCCAAAACAGCATTAGACCTGAAAGCAGGGGCTGCCAAAAGGCTGATGATGAAGATGATGGACAGAAAAGGAGTAAAGGAATTCAAATTCCATGTTAACGTCCACTCCCCTGGGGATCTCCAGTTGCTGGGGATCCAGGCGAGCTGTAGGACCGGCAGCAAGTCCCTTCTCCTCCCCTTGATGCTGCTTTGTGTTCTGGTGAGCTGAAGGGCACCCAAGGGAGCATTTAAGAGCAGCAGACAAATTTAACAGCTGCATCGCTGTGGCTGCTTCCAAGCAAGTGGCAGACTGTGGCCTTTGCTTCCCAAATAGCAGCTCTTTGCTATGTAAAGGAGCACAAACATCGCTGGAAAAGGAGCAGCCCTGAACACACCAGGCAAAGCTGGATGCTGCCGCTTGCCCAGTGGCAGAAATAGGAGCGGTGGTTTGCAGGGGAAACAACAAATGATCCCAGTTCCAGGAGAGGTAACTGCAGGTTAAAGCTGCATAAACCCAGCCAGGTCATCTGCTTGCTGGAAAAATAATTTGTCAGGCATTTATTAGGATCAGTTTATTCCACTGCTGGTTCCCAATGGAAAGAACATTTTGGAGCCCTTGTAACAGCTCAGGAGCGGAAAACAGGGAGCGGCCAAGGAAATCTGAAAGCCCTGTTTGCTGAGGGACAAGAAGCTGCAATGGGCTGACAACGGGCAGGGCAGAGCCACTGCCTCCTGCCCAAAGGATGCTGCCCAGCCCTGGTCATGGGCACGGGAAAGGCAGGGGGTGGAAGGAAGAGCCTGCAGATCCTCTGGCCAAGGTTGTCATGTTTTGGAAGGTGGAAATTCCAAGGATGGCTTTTGCTGTGTGTGATCCCCTGAGTATTGCTGGGAAGGGATGGGGGAATACGTCCTGATTATCGGCTGTGCCTGCACAGAGCTGGGAAAAGCATCAGCAAAGGTGCTGCTGGATGGGTGCTGTGCAGGGATGTGAGCAAAACCTAGGTCAAGCAAGTAATATCTGCCATGCTGAGGCCAGGCTAAAGCAAAACGATCATTTCAGTGCCACCAGCCTTAGGGGAATGGGGGGGTTCTCTCTGGGACACTTAAGTGAGCCCTCACATCACCCTCAATGCATGATACAAGAACAGGGCTGAAGCAAAACTCAAAAGCAACAGGAATTGTTGCAGACGTGGAGCCTCCCTGCAGGCAGTCCCAGAGGAAAGGGGCACTGAGCTTCAGAGTTCATCCCCTCAGTCCTCCTCCTTGGACTGAAACGCAGACTGATACCAGCCCATGTCCTGCCTCACTTTGTAATGAAGATTCCCAGCCAAGGATCAAATTGGTTCTATAAATATTCATGAAATTAAGTCTGAGCCTGGGTCATTGCTCCGCAGAGCAGAAGGGACCATAGTGAAGAACGTGTCTGGGATCACACAGCAAAGGGAGCAAAGAGTGCTTCAACCGCTGGCTGAGCTTCCTCCTTCCTCACCCTGGGGAGCATCACCTCCTTTCAAAGGAGGGGAATAAATAAACTCAACGGCAGAAAACCCCACGTGTGTAATAACACACCAGGGAAAAGCCCCCATCTCCCTCAAAAACTCATCCTGACACCAGTAGGATGGTGTCTGGGCACAGCAGCCACCTCGGCCGTCCCTGCTGAGCCCATGGGGTTTGGGGAGTGCTTTTCTGCCAGGGTTTGCAGCCGTTTGCAAGCTGGCCCTGGGTCCTGCTTGAAGCAGGGGCAACACTTGCCAGCCAATACTGAAAACATGCAGGCTTCAGAAACTTGGAGAATGAGCACGTACTGTGAAAAGCCTCGCTCATCGCTATTCCCACACTTGCCATCTTCCCTGTTTCAGAATCAGGCTTGTTGGATCATGATGATATATTATGATGATCAGGGGACTGGAGCACCTCCCATATGAAGGCAGGCTGAGAAGTTGGGGCTGTTCAGCCTGGAGAAGAGAAGGTGATGGAGACCTCATAGCAGCCTTCCAGTATCTGAAGGGGGCCTATAGGGATGCTGGGGAGGGACTCTTCATTAGGGACTGTAGTGATAGGACAAGGGGTAACGGGTTCAAACTGAAACAGGGGAAGTTTAGATTGGATATAAGAAGGAAATTCTTTCCTGTTAGGGTGGTGAGGCACTGGAATGGGTTGCCCAGGGAAGCTGTGAATGCTCCATCCCTGGTGGTGTTCAAGGCCAGGTGGGACAAAGCCTTGGGTGGCATGGTTTAGTGGGAGGTGTCCCTGCCCATGGCAGGGGGGTTGGAACTGGATGATCTTAAGGTCCTTTCCAACCCTAACTATTCTATGATTCTATTGTGAACAAAGGGAGAGACAAGCATGTGGGAGCCCCTCTGCTGAGCAGCAGGAGGGCAGCAGGCAGAAATGGGGTGTATGCCCTCCACATTGTGTTGGGCAGGGACTAACCATGAGGGATGGGGAAGCAGTTGCCTTGGCTTTTACCCACAGCAAAGGGCAATCACCCATCAACTGCAAGCCTGGGGTTCCCCAGCCATAGGCACAAGCTTGACCCTTCTGTCTCCCCCCTGACCCTGCTGCCAATGCAGGGCTACCCTGTGTTACCCGTGAAGCAGAGGGGACCCACACTCACATCTGTCCTTCAGGGGCATAGGTGGAGCCGGTGATGCTGAACTCGTGCAAGCTGCACTGGGTGCCCTCCACCTTCTCCATAATGAACATCTGCAAGAGGGAAAGGTGGAGACAGAGCATCAGGCAGTGATCTGTTGGTATAACCCATGTGCCCAGCATGGAGACCCACCAGCCAGCACCATCCCAGCAGTGCACTGGGCTCAGCCCCCTCTCTGGTCACCCCCAGCTCCTGGCTGTTCCTGAATCCTTCCACCTCTCTCCAGCCTTTTACATGTTCACCTCCTCCAGCTCTTTTTTTCCATTGGAGAGGAGCGATGCCGAGCCAGTTCCTAAGAAGGTGGCTGTGTTTTTCTTGGAGCAGAGAAGGAGCCAGGTCCAGCTTTCCACTCCTGCCCCGGCTGCCCTGGAAAGCCTCTGTGGGGCAGGATCCATCCAGCTGCCCCTGCCACCCCTTCCCAGCTCTTGGCCACCAGCTTGCCATGTACACTACTGGGCTCTCAGCTCTGCTCCAGGCACTGGCAGTGTGGCAGCTCAGTAATAAAGCCCCTGGGAGCAGTACAAGTCCCACATGCTCCATTAGTGAGTTTTGCCTTTCAAACTTCCTTCCAGTTTCTTAGTGCTACAGTGAAAGCAACAACCCCCCAAAACCTAAACCACAATACAAATCCCCCTCTCCCCAAGCTGTCCCAGACCCCATTGCCCCCTCCTAGCACAGCCCATCCAGCTGGAGCAAGAGCGGTGCCTGACCCCAGCCAAGGCAGCACTTTGGCGACGCTTGTTTCTGCTTAATCATTATTTATGACCCAGGTTGAGGCCAAAAAGTAACATAATAAATAAATAAAATTGGTGTGGTGAATGCATTTTCCCGGCTGCAATTGCCTGTCGGGAGCAGCCAGGAGGAAGCCTGATTTTCCTCTGGTTGGTTGAGATGCTCTCCAGGAGAGGGAAGCAACAGATGCTGAAGGAATTGGGTGGCGTCACTCAGCACCAGAGATGCCACAGATCTGGGTACCAGCCATTTCCTTAACGCAGTGAGTTTTAGTGTTATTAGTGTTTTATTTAATTGACTGTTATTATTAATTATTGTTAACTATAAAAGGGCACCCCACCATAGAGACATCCCCACGCAGCCCAGTATCCCCAGATGCAAGCTTAGAGCCAAACCAAAAAGGTCAAGCTTAGTGAAGCACGTTGACAGCAGGTTTAGCACCAAGACACCTTGGTGGGTTTTCTCACCTCCACATTCTACAGGGTTGGGCAAATCAAAGCAGGAGGTTCAAAGCAAACACCTCCTGCGTGAATACTTCTGAGGTCAAAGCAACCTCCCCATGGCCCCACAGCTGCACAGAGAATTGCAGATACTGCATTTGCTAGGCTAGTGCCCTCAGCGCCTTTCCCAGAGCCCATCCTGGAGACCCCTCAGCATTCCTGAAGGGTTTCAAAGAAAATCAAGAGCTAAACAGATGTCCCAGATGTCTCTGTTGAGGCACTGAGCTCCTCTGGCAGGAGGTGCAACCACTAGAACGCATGAAGAACCTCAACAGAAACCTCCCTGAGATGACTATTCCAGAAACCAAGGTGAAGTGTGGCACCTACTTTGAGCCAGCACCAAAGACGATGTTCAAAGGCTGAGCATCCTTCATCTCTTTTTGAGACATCCAATGTCACAGGCTTTCCAGAGAGCCAAAACCTTCTGGTTTGTTCAGAAAATGGACTCCTGTGCTCAGAAATGCCACCCAGGCTCATTTACTGAAAAACCTGGAAGCATCCACCCCAGGCACTGGTGGTTTGGCCTGATAGGGGCCTCTTTGTTTCCAGCCACTCATGGCTACAAAACAATTCCTACTTTTACAATAGCAGCTTTCTTGTTAAAAAAAAAAAAAAAAGTAAAAGGAAAAAATATAAAAGTCACTCCAGGCCCTTTATTTTTCCATGTTGCTTTAAAAGAGGTGCTGTGTAACCCACAGCAACCAGAGGTTACAGCACTTTTCCTGCCCGCTCCCAGCCTGTGTGACTGGCAGGGGATGGGCAGCCAGGGCACTGCAGAGGTGTTGGCAGGGGTTTGAGTGGTGTTTTAGCACTGAAAAGGGGTCAGGTTTGCAGGCAGGGGAAGCAGTCCAGAGGAAACAGCTGTGTCTTAATCTGTGAAGAGGGCAGGTAAGGTTTCCATCACAGAAATAACATAAATAGTAACAGGAGCAATAGGAGGAGGTGGCAAAGCTGCATGCTGCAGCCTGGTTTGCGGAGGCTGACAAGAGATGCTCACAGAGACCTTTTGCATTGCCATGGTGAACACCAGCTCCAGCATCCAGCCAGCACCACCCCACGGCTTCCCTCTGCTCACCCCCATAACCGTTTTAAAACCACGCTGGTGATCTGGGGGGTTAACACAACAGGGAGATAGATGGGAAGGAAACCATTACGAGCACCCCCTGCTCCAGAAGGGTTTCAACCATTGCACCTGACAAGTCTTGTCTGGCTCTGGCGCTGTATCACACAGCCAGACGCTGCTGGGCGTATTTTTAGATAGCAAAGGGCACCCACGGATGCATCGCCTGCAGGCTTGCGGGGAAGGAGATGTGAAGGATACATCTGCACATTTCTGTAGTACCTTCAAAAGAAGTACTCATCAAAAGGCAGACAAGAGAGGATTGCTGTCTGGAATAGCAAGAGGCTGCAATCAGCAGTCATTTACCCCTCAATCAGCCCACGGATCAGCATCATCTTCCTCCTGCGCTGGAAGCAGCCCCGGCACCCATCAGTAACTGCCAGAGCCCCTAGGAAACCCCCAGCAGGGTCTCCCATTAATTAGCACTGGTTTAGACAGACAGCACTGCTGAATCAAGGCAGTGTCCTGGAGATTTAAAAGCAAATAGTGCCCACACAGCCCCGACTGCACTGGGAACAGGAGATCGCACATACAGGCTCTGCTACACGGTTTATTGAGGATAAACCCGCTTTCTGCTCATGCTCCCCAAAACACCATCTCAGAGGCATCCAACCATCACCTCCCTCTCCCAGACATTAGGCTCCTCTCCAGCCCTGTCCTGCTCTGCCCTGCACAGCAACAGCCCCAAGCCTCCACAGCCACACTCACATCTCTGCTTCAGGTCCTGACTTTCAAACACCACCCTCAAGCTCCTGGAAAATGAAGCTCTAATGCATAAAAGGTGCTGAAAGTTTTAGGAGAGTGATTTAAATGTGCAAGAGCAAAGCTGAAAAGCTTCTCTGCCCCTTCTCCCCCTGCCAGACTCCCATCACTCCCAACCACATAGTTATTTAATAGCCGGGAGAAGGCTGTTCCTGGTTGCTCCACACCATAGGCTGGGTGAGACGGTGGTCTCAGAGACCCCAGCTGACTATAAGGTGAGTGACACAAACCATAGGTTCAATCTGATCTAATAAGTTTTGGTGTTTTGGCTTTACTGTGATATTGCACAGCTGTAACCTCTGGTGGACTTGAGATCAGAGCAAAAGCACCAAGATTTTGGCCATCCCAGGTGGACGAGGCCCTGGCATAAGGCACTTCAGTGGGCACATAATGCCCATGGGCGTGTGGGGGGCACAGTTTCACCCCTGCAGACTACCTGGCATCCACATGCACCCTGCTGAGCTGGCTCTGCTGCATCCCAGCTATGAAATCCAGACACCGAGTGCGACTCAGATCCAGCAACAGAGCTGAGGGTTTAAAAGCAGACCTAAAGCCTTTTAAGAGTCACTTTACAGCTCTACAGACCTGATGCCAGCAGAGGTGTAGAGGGCAAGCACTGCTTGGCACCATACCCTGGCTGAGCAGCTGTGCTCAGTCAAATTTAATGTGTGAGTTAATGAAATCACACTCAATTAATGCATTTCCCCAGGCTATCAATAGGCTTTTGTGGGTTTTCACCCCCGTGGCTGAGCAGCTTCTGGGGCAGGAGCACATCCAGGACACGGCAGCAGCACAGCACAAATATTTACCCACCCACTGCTCAGCAGAGCCATCAGCGGTCCCTGTGCTGTCGGTATCAACATGGGAATCCCTCTCCGTTAAACATTAACAGCCACGTCCGTGTGTCCTGGGGCCAGCCCGGCTCTTGCTATTGCACCCTGGGAGTGAGGAATCAGCCAAGTGAATAACATGGATATTGGAATGGGGCTGTGGGGAGATGGGGTGAATGATACACTGCATTTTCAATTTAATTGAAGTTCATTCTGCAAATGATGCCTGATGCTAAAGCCCCTCATGCATGCCACTGCCCCACTCCATCCCCCTCCTGCCTTCTCCCTGTCTCAGCATTCCTAATGTTGCCTCTCCTCGTCGTGCCAGACTGCAAGAGACGGTGGCATGGCACTTCTTCCTGAGTTCAAGGAGCACATCCTCCAGTAAGAAGTGTTTTGGAGAAGGCATGGTCACTCCCACCTCTCCTTCTGCAGTCTGCAGAGCTGAAGAGAGCCCAAATACTGGGCTCACCCTTTACTTGCTTCCCTGCATCACTGGATCAGAAAATGGACTGGTGGGAACACGTGGGCAACTTGGCCACTGCCTCATCCCAGCAGTGTCTCGTTTTAAATCATTTACAGGAGAGGAATATCAGATGTTTCCAGTCATCTGTATTTTGTGCTGAGCAAACCAGTGGCCAAAGCCCATGGCCAGCTTGCAGCACGATCACAGCTTCCCACCACGCTACCAAAGTGTCAGAGAGGAGGAATGGTGGCCAGGTCCATTTTTCCCCACAGCAACACATTTTCCAAGGTTCTCCTATAAAACTGACATGCCAAGGCCATGAAGAAAAGCTTTCCTGAGACTTGAGCATTAATGGGGAAACTGAGAAGTACTTGGATGCTCCAGGCTTTCCTAACAAGTCACCTCTCCATGCAGCCAGGCAGGCAGCAACAAAGCTCTCTGGTAGACCAGGAGCCTTCAATCTCTTTGCCAAACCACTCCAGTGCTCCCTCGGCCAGAAGAGCTTTTCAGTCCAAGCCCAGCTGCACACATCTGCTGATGGGAGACCTTCCACCAGCAAAGGACAAGTAACCAAAGCACCTTTTCACCAGGTCATGGGCATCTTCTCTGAACCCACGGATTTCTACGCAAGCTTTGTCACAAACTCACACACTGCAGTGACCCTACAAGTTTTGATCTCATGGGTCCAGGCTTTGTAATTTCTCCCTGGTTTGGTCAAAACAGGGGGAAATGGGCAAGAGGGCAGAGGAGGCCAATTGTGCTGGCATCTCCAGGAGCTCTGTCTCAACTCCACAGCCCAGCAGGCAGAAATGCTCTCTGAGAGGTAGCCCTGAAGTAAATCTGCAACGTGGCATCTCCAACCTGGTGTGCTCATAAAAATTACTTAGAATTGTAGAATCATAGAATAGTTAGGGTTGGAAAGGACCTTAAGATCATCCAGTTCCAACCCCCCTCCATGGGCAGGGACACCTCACACTAAACCATGCCACCAGAGGCTCTGTCTAACCTGGCCTTGAACACCGCCAGGGATGGAGCATTCACAACTTCCCTGGGCAACCCATTCCAGTGCCTCACCACCCTAACAGGAAAGAATTTCCTCCTTATATCCAATCTAAACTTCCCCTGTTTAAGTTTTAACCTGTTACCCCTTGTCCTGTCACTACAGTCCCTAATGAAGAGTCCCTCAATTTTCAAATAACAACCCTGCCAAGAGAAGCCATCAGCCTTACTGACCCTGCTCAGGCAGAGAGGAAGCTCAGCGCTTCCTACAAACCATCTTCTCACCTTCACAGTCCCGATACGAAACAAGTCAGGTGAGGACAACAAAGCCCAACACCCCAGTGATGGGGATGGAGCAACGCAGAGTGCTTGGGGGCTTACAGAGCATTCCCCCTGCACCTCAAACCCTTGAGCACCCAGCGCTCACCCGGCAGACGGACATCTGGTTGGTGGTGAGGGTGCCGGTCTTGTCGGAGCAGATGACGGAGGTGCAGCCCAGGGTCTCCACGGAGGGCAGGCTCCGGACGATGGCATTCTTCTTGGCCATGCGCCGCGTGCCCAGCGCCAAGCAGGTGGTGATGACAGCGGGGAGGCCCTCAGGGATGGCAGCCACCGCCAGCGCCACTGAGATCTTGAAGTAGTAGATGGCCCCCCGAAACCAGGAGCCGCCGTGGACCGGGTCGCTGAAGTGGCTGACGTTGATGACCCAGACGGCGATGCACACCAGGAAGATCACTTTGGAGAGCTGCTGGCTGAACTCATCCAGCTTCTGCTGCAAGGGCGTCTTCTCAGGCTCGGTCTCCACCATCTGGTTTCGGATCTTCCCGATCTCGGTGTACACTCCTGTTGCAATGACAACCCCTACAGCCTTCCCGGCGGCGATGTTGGTGCCCTGGGAGGGAAGAAAGGGGACAGAGTGGGTATGTGGGCATGAAACCTTTCAGCCTGAGCAGGGAAATGGGGTGCTTGTTGTGAAAGGAGAACATAAGGTCTTGGTTAAGGGGAAATGAGACATTCTGGGGTTTTACATAAACCCAACCTGAAGCAGCTGGACATCCCTCCTGAGAGCTCTCTCACCCCCTGAGGACCTGACTGCTGTCCGAGAGGAGCATGAGAGAGGAGGAAGCTCAAATGCAATAGCTCCAGGCTCAACCACAAACCTTTTCCCCACCCATAACGCATCCTACCCGATGGAAAACCCACAGTGGTTGCCCAGGGCATTTAAGGGTGTCATAGCCCAAACAAAGCAGGTCCTTATTTTTATGTATTTGGGGCTGCTCTTATGGATTTAGGACTTTCTCATACATGCACTCCCTTTCTCTGCTCAGAGATCTCCCGCCTCCATCACCCTCTTCACTTGGTGGCTCTTTGGAAAACCACAGGCGAGGTGGGGACAGGCATGAAGGACTTACAGAGAAAAGCATGTTCTTCTTGTCCTGGTTGACAGCCCGGGGGTCAGGGATGGGGTCAGCATGCTTGATCACTGACACAGACTCCCCTGCCAAGACAAGAAGGGCGAGATGAACCACACGTTTCCTCTCCAGCCTTTGCCCTGAGCCTTTCTAAAGCAGCATTTGGCCATCAAACCATCCGTCATGAGGATGTCAGAGCTGGGCCAAGGCGCCCCGAAGATGAGGGCTGCAGAGAAACAAGCTGTGCACAGCACTAGGAGACACAAGCTCCTATACAGCCCAATGGGATGGTGCCAAATCCCTGTGCCAGGGAGCCCGCAGGTCAGATGGGGATTGTAGGGCAGCACAATGGGAAAGGTGCCCCAAGGCAGGTTGGATGGGGCCTGGAGCAGTAGTGGAAGGCGTCCCTGCCCATGGCAGGGGACTGGAACTGGATGAGCTTTAAGGTCCTTTCCAACCAAATTAGCCTGGGATTCCATGCAAGCCATTCTACTGAAGGTTTATGTTTTGTCTTTTGCAGATTTCCCCTTTTTTTTGCAGTTCCTTTTGCCCCTGGAGAACTAAGTTAATGCAAAGCCATGTTTTGAGGAGACTGGGCTCCTTTCCTCATATTTTTAACAGTTTTTCTGGTTTCCTTCCCTGCTGTCATCTCCTAACTTGATGCATTTCCAAAATCATGCAAGAGGGCTGAAACACTGGAAAGCCCTTTTTGTCATCTTATCATTCATCAAATCACAGAATGGTTTGAGTCGGAAAGGACCTTAAAGATCATCTAGTTCAAACCTCTTGGCCTTCCTTGACAGCAGAGAGAGATTATTCCTGAACTATCACAGATTATCAGCTTTACAGGCTTTTCCAGAGGCCTTTTTTTGCTTAGAAAAGAAAGCCCCAAATATTGTCACCTCTCCCTGAAGTCATGAGGCCTCGTGCACCAGCGGTCATCATGCAACGGCTGAACTGGGGGAGAATGGGCAGGAACTGAGCACCTCCTCCCTTGTGTTGCACAGGAAAGCTCCATGCTTTGTGCTTTGCAGGAGGGATGCCCAAGCACCAGGCTCACCTCACCTATGCCGTGGTTTTTACATGATGCTGGGACCTCCCCATTTTGTTCTCCCACCCATTTCCCACCCCAGCAAAGCACTCAGCCCAGGATCAGTCCCCAAATCTGGCTCCAGAGGGAAAGCTCTGTGCTCAGCAGCCGCCTCTGCCCCATCAAACGTGCACGTACCAGTGAGGATGGACTGGTCAACCCGCAGGGTGGTGGACCGGATTTCGATGATCCGGATGTCCGCTGGCACCTTGTCACCAACTACAAGGACAAGACAAGAGCAGCTCCATCAGGTGCCCCCAGCCCTGCCCATCACCTTCCCCAGCTGCCACCCGAGTGAAACTTGCTGTGGTTTGAGCCAGGTTTGCCAGGACACGTAGCAAAGGAGGAGCTCTGCACGGGGCAGCCAAAGCAAGGCATTGCCTGCCCCACCACATACCAGTCTCTCCTCTTCCCTGCAAAACCCCTACAGCACCCTCCGTCTTCCCTCTTCCCTGCAAAAACACCCAAACACCCCAGTTTTAGAGCAGCCTGAGCCTCCCAACATCACTCTTAACCCTGTTTCAGGGCTCCGTGGGCTGACTGGAAGCCGTTGACACTGGATGACCTTTCCTGGCTGCATAACAAACAGCCATCCACGGGTCTCCTGGCCCAGCAGGGTGGTTATGGGTGAAAGCAGCCCCATCAACTCACAGCCACCAATCGCCACCCTCTCAGACGCCTGTGCTTCCTTAAAAAAACCCATTTAAAGCTCCTTTCCCCGCTGGGTTTCTTCCTCCTGCTCCCTTATCGGCTGGCCACAACCGCGCTCCGGTGCTTCGGAAACACTGATGCAGAGCGAGCCCTGGCTCAGAGCACTCACATCCCTTACACAACACTGCCGGCTTGGCTGCTAAGGAGCGTCTCAGATCCCAGACTTTAACAAGCACTTCCTCCCGGGGCTCGTAAAACCACCCCTGAGCACAGCGGGATGGGGCTGGCATGGCTCCATCACCAACCACTTATTCCAGCTGCACATCCCGGCGCGCTGGGATGCGGCGTGAAACATCTGCCGTCAGGGCAGACCTGCCCTGATCCACACTGCAGCTGGGTTTGGGGGGGAGTGGTTAAACACAGGGACCCACAGAGCCCCCAGAATGTACACTTCATGCACGCAGACTTTGGAGAATCTTAATGGGAGCAAAGAGCTCCACTACTCGGGGAGCTTGGCAGTGGGATAGCAAAGCCAGGTCTCCTTGTCCCCTCCTTTTGAATACAACTCATGGGCAGATGAGGAGGGAGGCTGGTCCTTTGTGAGGTTCAATACATGCCAGAAATCTGGAGAAGGACTTTTTACAAAGGAATATGGTGACCAAACAAGAGGGGTGGCTGTAAACTGACAGAGGGGAGATTTGCAACATCGGGCACCAGTGCCTTCTGCTCCAGGGTGGATAGCGGATAGCATCCCAGAAGGCTTGCATGGCACAGGACAGAGTTCCTGTACAGACCTGGAGGCTGCCATTAGCCAGCCACTGAACACATCACCTGAGCATGGCAAATCTCCCCTGTGCCAGAAGCCAAGGGAAGGAGAGGAAACAGACACTGCTGGAGCAAAGCAGGAGCAGGCAGGTGGTGCAGCACCTGGTGGAGCTCCCTCAGCAATGCCCTGCCTGCTCTTTTGGGGTAAGGCAAAAAAAGCTGGTGCTGCAGCTGGGTTTAGTCCATATACAGATGCCTGCACAAGGGCTCACCTCGACTGCCTTGTTACAGAAGAGCAAAAATCAGCTGGGAGCTGGATTTAAACAGCTCGCCAACGTGCAACCATCATAGAATCATAAATTCATGGATCTTATGATCACCTAGTTCCAAACCCCTGCCAAGGGCAGGGATGCCTCACCCTAGACCATGGCAGCCAAGGCTCTATCATCCCCCTCTTAGTGTAGCAGGTTTTCCGCTCCCTGCTGCCCAATTTATTGCCTTTGCACAAGCAGAAGCCAGTCCCCTCCTGCGAGCACTGTCCCTGCCGTCCCCAGGATGTCACCCAATGTCCACTGCATGTTCAGAGCTATTGCTCCTGGTGCACTTCCCTATCAGGCAGCCTGACTGCATCCTCCCCACTTCCTAGAACCTCCTAAACCCAGTTAACTTGCTAATCATTTGCAAGCCCCTCCAGGGAGCTCAGCTCTTTCCCTCCCAGTCGTGCTGCTGACTGTGCCATTACAAAGCAGTATTCAGCTGCTAGCGGGCAGGCAGCAAGCACTCAGTTTGGGGGAAGATGGCAGAATTTAATCAATTATTAATTAATTAATTTAATTAAAGGCTAGGTCAGCAGCTGGAGTGTATTTCCAGAGCTGGCTTGGGAGCACTGCCAGCTCGCCCAGCTGAGGCTCTGGCCAGTGCTTGATCCTCCCTGCATTATTCTTATGTTCATCTTCCAGCTGAAACCCAAATGGAAGACATAAATAACAGTGAGCTGGCTGGGCGCAGGAGGGATTGCAGCATGTTTCCACTAGCAAGGCCACAAGGAGGAAAGGAGAGGATTAGTTTTGTGGCTCTGGGGATTTACAGCATCATTTAATGAACAAACAAAATGGGATAAGCAAAATGCATCTTCCTTAGGTCTTGCAGGGCAGGCAGGAGACCCCAGACATCCTTTGCTGAATGCAAAACCCCATTAGAAAGGAACACCCTGCAGCTGGTCCCCTCTGCCTCTCGCCCTTCCCAAATAACAAATTCCCATTCCCAAGAAATCCTGCCCACACAGGCAGGACCAGCACTACTGCCTGCAGCACTGAAACCCCTCCAAGCTGGTGGCAGCGCTCGCCTGGCACCACCACGCAGCACCCAGCACCAGCCCTGTCCGGGGGATGCACGTGGGAGAGCTGCTTCCAGAAAGAGGGAATCTTGGCGGAACACTGAATGTTCTTCCAGTTCTCCTAGAACACGGGGAACACCCCCCCCCCCCCCCGAGATGCAAAACCTCTGCCAGAAACACACACTTTTTTTCCCTTTCCTGCTGTTCTCTACTGCCTCATGCTCAGGGCGAAGCCTCAGCAGGCTGATGAGCCCCAGCTTTGTCCCAGCTCATTTCACCTCTCTGCATTTGAAGGGAAACTAAGATCTCAAGTGTACACCAACAAGGTGGCCATGCCTCCAGAGGAGATGCACATGGACAGTATGGCACTGCCACAAGGACCGCAGGGTGTCCATCATCAAAGCCCTCCTGTTCAGCGCTTCCTCCCCATCCCACCCAGTGCCCTAAGGTGATGGAACCCTACCTGCCACCTCCACGATGTCCCCAGGGACAATGTCCCGGGCGCGGATTCGCTGTACCCCACTGCGGTCAGCGCGGATCACCTTCCCCATCTCGGGCTCATACTCTTTCAAGGCTTCGATGGCACTCTCGGCGTTTCTCTCCTGCAAGTGGAGGAGGAGCAGAGCTGTCAGTGGTGGCACCAGGCTCCTTCCCCACCTGCTGCAAAGACAGAGCACCCAAACCATGGCCCTGGCTTTGGTACCCATTTGCACCATGGATGGGGCAAATGCCATGTCTTCTTCAGCTGCTCTGAAATGGTCCCCACTGGCTTAAATCGCACCAGGTCTTGGGCACTGATGTTCTCATTCTTGGTTTGGGAAGCAGCATATCCCACCCATATAGAATCCTAGAATAGTTAGGGTTGGAAAGGACCTTAAGATCATCCAGTTCCAACCCCCCTGCCATGGGCAGGGACACCTCACACTAAACCATGTCACCCAAGGCTTCGTCCAACCTGGCCTTGAACACCGCCAGGGATGGAGCATTCACAATCTCCCTCGGGAACCCATTCCAGTGCCTCAGCACCCGTACAGTAAAGAATTTCTTCCTTATATCCAACCTAAACTTCCCCTGTTTAAGTTTTAACCCGCTACCCCTTGTCCTGTCACGACAGCTGGATGTTTTTCCCCATACAGCAAACCCACCTCAGATCACACTGCAGATAAATAAATGTCCTTAAGCTGAATATATACAAGAAGAGGAGCATCAGTGGCTGAACTGAACCTTTGAAAAATGAGTTTCTAATGGCAAGAAGCAACCAGACCTTCAAATGAAGTGTCTCAGCCATGTGGAGCAGAGACCAGCAGGGCAGCTGAGGGGAGCTACAGCTTACCTGCCACACACCCACCACAGCATTGGCGATCAGGATCATAATAATGACAACAGGCTCCACAAATGCTGTCGTGGTCTCTTCTCCTTCTTCAAACCAGGCCAGGATCTGGTGGGCAAGAGAAGAGAAGGACCACAATGTGACTGAAACAAGTACCAACACCGAAACACCCTCCAGCACTGCTGCTACATCTCCTTCATCCACCATGCACCTTCCTCCAGCTCCTTTGCTCTTTGGCTGCCACCTGGGTCCATTTGTGCCCTGGAAGGTGCCCACCCCAAGCCCAGGGTACTTACGAAGGACAGAAAAGCTGCCATCAAAAGGATGCGGACGAGGAGATCTTCAAACTGCTCCAACACCAACTCCCAGAGGGACTTTCCTGGTGGCAAAACACGAAGCCAAGCACAGTCAGTGCTCAAAATAACCCAAGGCCACAGGGGTTTATACCACTAAGGCCACTCAGACCACCAGGAGCCCGTCCCTTGGTCGCAGCAGAGCTGCTCCAGTGCCCACTGCCCGTGGGCACTAGTAAGAATGTTGAGTGCTGCAGTGGGGAATTTTTCTCTCTACTGTTAAACACCTTCATTTCTGGCACTGCCCTGGCAATGTAAACTGTGTCTGGTTTTAACTACAGAAACTAAATCCTCTGTGTTTCCACGCACAGCTGGCAGCTTTGTCATCACAGGAAAGCTACTGCTGTCAGCCCAGCTTTCTCTGGGATTAAAACCAACATCAAAAGACCCCACAGACCCCCTTCGCTTTGTCCTTCCACGCAGACTCAAAGCATGTACCCACCTTCACCTCTAGCCCACAACTTACCTTCTTCTGCAGGGAGCTCTGTGCATTTTCATTGACAGCCCAGCGAGCAAAACAAAGTAGAAAATGATAAAAATAAAAAGATAAATTAGTGATTTGGGCCCAGACCAGCAACCCTCACGCCCCAGCAGTCCATTCAGTACCCCAAAATGCAATTTGTTCCACACACGTTCCCGCATCAAGACAGCTCATCCTCAAACTTCTGTCTGACACCAAGCAAGCGGCACTGGACGCTCCCGACACCACCCACACATCATTTCCCTGCCGCAAGCTGCTCCTGTAGCTTTCACTGCTGCACTCAGCCTGCCTAAAATATACTCCTCAGGAGCTGCCCTCTCCAAATCCAGGACACAGTGGTCAAACCATCATGCAAAATGCCCTGCCAGAAAGCCAATAGGGACCCCCTGGGGACTGTAACTTTCAGACCACATTCCCTATTCATCAGTTGTACTTTACAGCCTGCGATGCTCCTGGAAAGAAATCCAAAGCTAATGCTTAGCTGGTCCAAGCCATCCTCCTGAATCCAGCCTGGTGGGTGCAGAGCCTCCATCCACACTGCTCCCAACCACCTGCACAACCTGAAAAACCCCCAAGAGCTCCTGACCACCACCATTGTCTCTCCAAGACTGCCACATCCCCATGGATGATCAGGACCTTCATATGCCACATGTGCTGAACAGTCCCAAGGCCACTGGGCAATGAACAAACCCCAGTACTCACCTAGGGCATCGCTCCTGCATCCTCACCCATGCAGTACTGAGGTGCTGGCGCTGCCATGACAAGGTCTGGCCAAGGACTGCAAGGTCCTGCACCCAGGGAGGACTCAGGAGTGACCCCCCTGGCTTTGGCTGCTGAGGGGTGCTCATCTTCACTCGCACTCACTGTTCCTGCACTCAGGGTGAATCCTTTGGCTGCTCACAGAGCACGGTCAGAGCAAACCCTCTGCCAGCAGCCCAAGGTGGGGAAATGCAGACAGAAAAGGAAATCCAGGATTTGCTGAGCGCAGCAGAGCTTGCTGGAGAAACTCAAGCCATAGCCATGCAGCAGCAAACCCTCTGGAGTGCTGAGCTTCTGGCTCAAAGGCATCACAGAGCACACAGAGGATACAGCAGGGTCCTAGCACTGAGGTGACAAGGTACCAGCACCAGTGAGTCTGGGCAGAAAACCTCCCAGCAGAGAAAACTTCAATCAGACCTTCCCAAAGAGCTGTCCCAAAGCCTCTGTTGGCTGCCACCTACTTCTACACCCCATGGGGTGATAATATAACAAGATCCTCCTCTAAACCCTTGAGTTTCTGGGGGGGAATAAGGGACCAGCTGAAGTCCAACAGGAATTGGCTCAAGGCAGACACACTTGATGCCCCACCACTAGACCAAATGTGGGGTTGTCCCCAAGCACCCCCAGCACATAGCCCTGAGCAAGGGCAGGAAGTGAAACCTGCTCGGCTGTTTTCCATTGTGTTTTCATTCAGAGCAATAAAAAAACCCAACCAACAACCAACCCCAACCCCAACCCCACCTTCACTGAACAAACCAGTGAAAACAAGAAGACTGAACGTGTTTATGCTGCAAACTGCGCCAGCTTCTCAATGCTCAGGCACGCTCACTACAAGTGGTTTTAAACCCAGGTACCTCTTAGATAAGGGTACTCTGGTGCCCTGCATCGTGAGAAACAGACCAGTGCGTGACACCTATAATTATTCTTATGGCAGAGAAGTGTAAGTGTAACCCTGGAGCAGCTTCAACGTTAAGATCACCCCACAGAGCGTGTCAGAAGGAAAGTGGCTCTTCCCCCTTTTGCAGCCGGCTCCTCTCCACCCCCAGCTTCCTCTCCCCAGCCCATAGAGCCACCACAATTAAAAGCAGAAGAGATGTGCTGCAGCTATTTCCATCCAGGCTCCACTCTGAGGGTGCAAACACGTGAGGTGAGAGGGCTGGAGGCAGACGGGTGCCACAAGGGAGGTGGATGGGGCTCCTTGCAGGCTTTGGCTCTTGGGGTGCCCAGGGGTGACTTTCCACCCCAAGAGCCACCCAAAATGTCGTGGTCCTCTTAGTGCTTCTCCCCCATGGGGTGTGCATGAAGAGCTGCAGAGATGCTGTTTGCAGAGCAGGGAAAACAGGTTTCTGTGAGCTCAGGAGGAAACACGTGCACCGGGGCAGCCAGACGAAATACCACCGGTGGCACGGTGACACTGCCACCGCTGTCACCAAACCTCAACCATCATCAACGCTGCTGCAGGCACCTCCCAAAAAAACAATTCTGAGTATACTGAGAACCAGGCACCTCCCCTGCCATCAGCGGCTCCTTCCACTGCCCTTCGCATGGCAGCTTAGTGCCCATTCTGCACCAAATACCCAGACAAAAAAAGGCAGAAAGTCACAATAAGCCCACATTTCTGGATCTGAATCAATCAAAACTCACCAGAAGTTTTGGGGCTGAAGCCTCTCCCTCTCCTTCCAAAATCTTGCTAGAGATGAAATGGTTTAGTACCCACCAAAACCCACGTTTGATGCGTGGCATGGCACTGAGGAGGGCAGCAGAGGTGGTGCTGCTGAGCTGCAGCACTGCCATGTCCTATGGCAACAGGGAACCAGCACGATCCCCAACCTGCAGCTCCTTTGGGATAACACAGTGAGCAGTGAGGCTGAAATACAAACTCCTGGCTGGCACCTGAATGGCCCCTTTCTTTGGCTGATGGCTCAGAGCTCAGCCCAGACATGCTGCTCTGTGCCCAAGCTCCCCAACACAGCCAGGAGACAGATGCAGTAACACCACCAAGGGCAGAAAGTGACACTGGTTGTTCAGAGCATCCTAAAAAGGGGCCACCCTCTTGCTCCTTAAGTTTTCAGCTTCCCAAGTGAGCAGTTCCCCATTGTGGGACCTGCAGCTTGCGGACACATATCTGCAGTTCCTCTGCTCCTGCTCTTCTGCATCGTGGCTTCGGAGAGCCACAGCCAAGAAAGCAGAGATGCCACAGCAGGGTGATGGGTGTCTGGATGTCACAGGACCACTCCCACCACAGTGATCCCAGAGGCGATCTCCTCTGAATTACCGCGTGGAGAGGTGCCGACAGTCCTGGCTCCACTGATCCACAGGGACACAGAACACAGCAGGCTCCTGGAACTGCTGAGGAGTTACCACTCGTGCAGAGCTTGTCACATCATGACCTCTTTCCCCGCTGTGCCATCACGGCCCAGTGACTGTGGCCCAAGCTGGGCTGCAAAATACCGATACAAGATACCCTAAGGGCACGCAACAAGCCCGGGGAGACGCAGGGCTGGCGTCGGGCTATTTGAGCTGGAGGTTCACCTCCAGCTCCTGCCAACTCAAACAGGGCTGGCAGCCCGTGCGCTGGCGCCTGCAGCATGGCAGGGATGGGAATCAGGGGATGAAAAGGTAAATAAACACGGGTGCCACCCAGGAGCGAGGTGCAGGCTGCTGCCCCCGGGCTCTATGCAGCCTTCATGTCCCCAAGGAGAGCGTGTGCTGGAGGCCAAAGCAAACACATCGCATGCAACGGGGTGGCGTTGGGGTCACTTGAAGGAAATGTTTGGGTTTCTCCAGCTGAACCAGGGTCAGAAATTCCCAGACCAGCACAGCCCTGTGGCAGCCGGTGCGTCTCCAGTGAGGAATTACATCCCACTCTGCTCCGGGGAAACTGAGGCATGAGGTGACACTCTCCTGCTCATACCCGGTGCGTGACCCACAACAGCAAATACCTGGCAGGGTGAACACCGAAACCCTGTTTTGCCCAGCATTTCAGGAGCTTCCCTAGGATAAATTCAGATTTCCCTTATGGGAGACACTTCTGCCACCAAGTGATGTGGGAAGGATAATGGCACGGTGCCTACTGCGGGGGATAATGATGAGCATCACACCTGGGCCCAGCTTTCTGCTCCAAATAACTTCCTTCGAGCCATATTTTTTATGTTGTAAACTAATTTTACTTCTTTCCCCCCTGCCTTTAGTTTCTTTTTCCATATGCAGGTAAAGGGAAATGGATAGGCAAAACAAGGGACACAGCCAGCTCCTGGACTCTGATGACAGGAAGGGAAAAGGGCCCAAGTAAGTAGCGAAAAGGGTAAGAAAAACCCAGAACATCCCCAGCTGAGAGAGCAGCCCCCTCCCATGACATAAAGCAGGAGCCCCGGCAGGGCTGCTCTGGGATCCTTCCATCATCCCACACGACACCAGGCAGAATAAACTGTTATTTTAACCGGCTGCCTTTCCCAGGGCCGGCTGCACTGGAAGGATCCCATCCCGGAGGGATATCTGCTCTGCTTCATCCCTGCTGACAGCCAGCACCGCTCCACATCACCGGCGCTCTGCGCAACAGCCAGATTGCACAACAGGAAAGGCTTTTCCAGGTTGTTTTAACATCACCTGCTGGGTGTAAATCCTGCCTGGGGATGGAGGCATGAAGCTGCTCATCACCCTGCCCCTGAGCTGCAGAACTGTGAAGAACCAGCGTTTGCAAACTAATCCCGGGTGTTTTAGTGTGATCTGGGATGACAAACACTCAAAGCCTAACGGTGCTAATGCTCCCTGATGGTCACAGAGGACAAACCACATCTAAGTGCCTCAGCTGTGTAGGACTCAGATTAATCCACACAGCTCTGCTTTTATGAACAGCTTCACACCTGAGCTTCCCAAACACTGCTACATCCCTGGAGCCTGTCCCGCACCTTGCATCTCACCCAAGCTCCAACCACGCAGGACTCTGCTCCACTCAGGAAGAGTGGGACCTTTGGGATGCAGCCAAAGGGACTTTAGAACGTGCTTCAACTTCTGCATGGCTGAGGTGGTCTTAACCCTCTGCCTCCCCTGACACCCTGGAGCCCACCCTTGCTGGAGGGAACGCTGGACCCACGGACACTATGTGCTGTTGCACCAAGATGGGGAGCTAAGCACAGCCTTGTGCCAGGTGGCCATGGACAAGCTCTGCTTTGCACCGCAACCCACGCCAGGAGGATCTGGCTCTTTCCTGCATCCTCCATCACCCCGAGGAGCTAGTTCCAAAG